TCGTTAAGCTTGTGACCACTAAACTCAGTAAATTTAACGAGGCAAAAACCCTGCTTGATTATGTTCGTTCAAAGCCTGTAATCACTCATAAGCGCTAACAAGATTTCAAATCATCAACAAGTTGGTCACAAAATCAAGTGCTACCAGTCTGGAACTAACCATATTGTATCATTGGATATAGGTGAATCATTGCAGAAGAAGCATATAGCTCAATTCAGCTAGCGAAAACATAACTATGCTCGCAGGCAGCGCCTATACAGGCACTGTCCATGTCCATTGAGAATAAGTTGCACAAACATTCCATCTCAACTCAAGAACTGAGAACTGCTGCCTGTCACTTGAGTTCTTCCAACACGATAATTTCAGACATAGTATTCAGTTGATCCATGTCCACATTAGTTCTGTTCTACAGCAGAATGCCCCTCTAAGCATACATACGGGCCACCAATTTGGTCCCTGTAAGTTCCAGGAAATGGAAGGTAAGCAAATAGTTATTTCATGGCAGTATTGTACGAGACCTCATGTGAATGGAACAACAAAATACAATCCCCAGCACTATTTTTTTTATTCTTTCTATTGCAGTGAAGCACTGAGCTAGAACATGAACCCTGGATGCCTAATAATTATCACTGCATTAAATAACAAAATTCAAGCACAACGCGGTGTTCAAGCTAACACACTACTACAACAAAGATCAAGCTAAGAGGAGAGTTACCAAAAACATAAAACAACAAGAATGCCATTTACAGAATGAGCGGTTCAGATGTAGACGAGAGCAACAAACTGTGTCTAGTTAACGGGCTAGCCAAAGATCTTAACCATATAGAAAACCAAAAGTAAACAAAAAACTACAGGGAGCCAAAACAAGGTGGAATTTCAGGAGTCTGATTTACCTTCTCTATGAACACCATTCTCTTGCATTCTGGAACATGCGCAACCAAGGACTGGGACCACCCTTCTCAACCTGCCACTCCTTGGGATACCCTGGGTATTGCCACATCATAAAGGAACGCTCCGGGTGTGGCATCAGAGCAAGGTGTCTTCCATTAGGGGAGCAAAGGGTCGCAATACCAAGCGGAGAGCCATTAGGGTTGAAAGGATAAACCTCTGTGACATTATTAGCATCATCGCAGTACCTCAGAGGGGCCAGATTTGAATTGACAACATCAGATAAGACATTTTCATCTGGGAATAAGGCTCTCCCTTCACCATGAGCACTCCAAATGCCCAAAGTAGAGCCTTCCATACCTTTGAACATTATAGAAGGAGAATCCCCTATGGCCACACTGATAAACCGACATTCAAAACGGCCAGATTCATTGTGAGTGAACCTTGGCTGGGACATGTCTCCACCTGCACCAAGCGAGCCTCCAATATCGGGTCCTGGTACCCAACCAAGAAGAGCCATGAGCTGACACCCATTGCACACCCCAAGGCTGAATGTGTCTGGCCTATTGTAGAACTCCTGGAACTGCTGTATGAGGGGCTGGTTGAACCTGATAGATGCAGCCCAACCTTTTGCTGACTCAAGAACATCTGCATAGCTAAATCCACCAACAAATGCAATCCCACGGAATTCCGTTAGAGAAGCCTTTTGGTTCAAGAGATCTGACATTGTGATATCGCACGGTTCAAAACCAGCAACATGGAATGCAGCAGACATTTCCCTGTCACTGTTACTCCCTTCTTCACGAATGATGGCAACCTTTGGTTTTGAGGATGCAGACAACATTTTCCACCTCTCTTCCTTCCGTAGGATCAGATAAGAAATCCTCACTTTTCCAAGATAGAAGAGAAGCAAGCAACGGATTGAGCAACTAGCGCGGAAGCCGTTGCGCGTTAGCGCATTTGTTTTCTTGCATTATTTTTATCACATAAATAGGGTTGCACAAAGACCACTTTCATTCGACGTTCTCGGGTGCCCGCGATTGAAGAATTTGGCAAGCTGATCCTCTTTGATCCAGGAGAAATCCCAGTCAGCGATCTTTTCGGTGCAGGTCACATGATCTACAGTCCGGCCTTTGCTTTTTGAGACTTCCTCTGCCCACATATATATGTGCCCACTGCACTTTACTTTGGTAGTTAAGGGTCCAAAGAAATAGGTCTGAGGTATCACAAGATGAAAGCGAATTTCGGGCAGTAGTGGGGTTGGGGAAATGCAGAATTTAGTTCATGCCATGACGATCTATATGGAAGGGAAGTTTTGTTGATGCTTTCATGTTTGGAATAAAAAGAACAGAGAAAGGGCGCCCCATCTTGATGACGAATTCCATGATAACAAGAAATAGAAAATAATCGTTTGATGTCTACTCGTTCTCCCCTCTTCAATTCCCAATGAACAACATGATCTTGAGCTATCATTTGTTCAGTTTGGTCGATCTGATACTTAGTTGACTCATTCATCTTGACGTTCCCACTGATGCCTAGTTGATAACAAAGCTGAATAGATTTTTTGGTCCTCTTCATGAGTCCGGTCTCAAAGGGACGCTAATGGCAAGGTAGCGATCCTAACTAATTGGTCTTCCTTGGTCGTTCCTCAAGAAATCGGTCACTCCTCGTCGACCTTGTTCTGAGTTGTTTGCTTTTCCAAGCTCATCTTACCCCCTTCGGGGGCGCTAATTCCAAGTCTCTTTCCTGAAATAGAATATGAAAATCAATGGAATTGATTGCAGACCAATGAGTAAATAGCAATGTAGTTCTATTAAGGAAGTCATTTATCCTTACTTAAGGACAGCCAGACTTGGCCAAATGAAGATATAAGCAAATAGCTGTGCGCTCCACAATAACAACCTGGATCCTTTCCTTTCGTATGAACAGAGGAAGCTTGGATCAATGAAAACCCATAGGGATAAAAAGAAAGGGAAAGATTCCCGACTTTCTATCCACTCTCAGCCGGATCATGCTCCTGGTGAATCTGGCGCACTTGCACACACTGGCTAAAAGTACCCTGTTTCAACAATCCCTGCAGTTTACGGACAGAAGATTGGATGGCAGGAAGGATTATCTTGAATGCCATTGAGAGTGATGCGGCGCCCTTTGTGCATGCTGCGTCAGTGGTCTTTTCGTTGATCCACATCCTTAGCCAAGACAAAGTAAGTCCGCGAAGAAGGAAAAGGGAGGAGCGGACGCTTGATTCATCTTAGTGCTTCAGCTCAAGATACAATTGGATGGTTTTAGTGCCCTACAAGAAAATGATTTCATGGAAGCAATGTCCGAATGTAATCCTAAAAGGATTGATTTGGTGATACTTAAATGTATCAATCTACTGGTAAAGCTATGTAAGAAAATCCTGAATGTCGCTTTCCTTTGGACAATATTGGCGAGGATGCTCTTCACCTCTTTCTGGAGCTTCTGGTGTTTTTGTTGGAAGACATCTGATTAATTTCACAAACGCGCACACATTGATTAATTACCTGGGCCTATGTTTGTTATTTTGAACTGACAAATTAACAGGATTCCAAAAAATGATAAATTGCATATACGTACCTGAATCCCGGGACATGGCTAAAAACGTTGAATATACTGGAGAAGGCAAGAAACTGGACCTCCTTCTGCACCAGATGGACTAAATTTGCCTCTCTATGGTTGCTCCCAGACACCACCCGCGAGATCACGTCGGCTGTTAGCTGCTCGAACTGGCTGTTCATCTCAATCTCCATGTGGCAACCATAAAGAATGCTTGAAAATGTTTTAAGGAGGGTTTGAAGCCATCTTTTGGACCCTTCTGAAGCAACTGTTGTGTCTTATTTTCTATTGTTTGATCTGCACAAGATCTGTACTTAGAGCATTTCCTAGGACTGTACAACTAGTCTCTAATTCAACCTGTGCCAAAATCTTCATACATGATTCTACACCTGGTATCGATGCTTTGAACAGAAAAGGTCAGTGAAATAACTAGCAATAACATTTGTTAGGAAAATAGATTGCTTTATTAGTTAGAAAGATTTGTGACAAACAGTAGGGGATGAATATGCAAGGACGGCAACAACCTATTGCCAGGAAAAATGAGTTGCTGAAGCAAGGTTCCAAGCAGTAGTAAAAAGCATACGAGACATTGTATTCTGCAAAATTTGTTCCAGGGATGATCACTTGGTCGTTTTACATGGTCAATGCTCCATCCAATACGATGTAAATAAGGTAACAGGTATCAGAACTATTTAGTACTCCGTCTGTAAACTAATATAAGAGCGTTTAGATCACTACTAGTGATCTAAACGCTCTTGTATTAGTTTATGGAGGGAGTACTTACAAATGTCAAGGGGGATACTAAGGTTTGCCCACATTACTCCCAACATTGTTTTTTATGGAAGGTAAGTAGGTAACTCAGATTTGATAACAGGAATATAATTTACCTGCTATTTGACAAAGAATAGCACTCCAGGAAATGCAGGAATCACATTCTGTAGATCAGAAAAGAAACTGATTGGCAAATCATCAACTTCTTTTCTCTTTGAAAAGGCGCAAATCATCAATTTCACTAATCTGAGTGGCATTTCCTAGAGTATTATTCCTTTCAATGACATATGCCTTGATTAGAAGGTTAAAAGAACATAAAAGGCATAAATCTGACGAAATATCCAACCATGAAAATGTGGCAACACATTCAGTAAGTTGAATCATATCAGATGATAAAGCAGCAGCTTGGAGTAACGATATCATAATATCAAATATAGTGAAGTATAATTTTTTTAAGACTAGTACACCTGAATATGTCAAAACAGACAAAAGATTCAGTGATTAATTGCTGATGTTCTGGTGGCTCTAGTTTGGCATTTGAAAGACTAGTGATGTAGTCTTGCATTGCTCTTCAACAGCAAAGAATGGTTCCGTATACAAAGAACCAAACGATCCATTTCTAGTGAATTACGAGCACACTTTGTTTTACCCCTGGCACTTACAAAAAAAGTCAGAAATAACCTCATCCTGACGTTGATGTACAGGTGCATTTCCAATAGGAAATCATGTCATGAACATGACGTTGATCCCAAACTGTTCTTCAATCACCAAAAGTCACCGCAAGAACAGGTTCCATCCTTAAAATGGTGGAAACGGTTTGCATCACGCATAACAATCTCCCTCTGAGCTATCTTTGAAAGAAATTTTGTTACCGTGTGGCAGTCAACACAAATTCGAAGATTTTTCATCACACGAACTGTTGTTCCAGGAGGTGTATTCAAAATACCAAATACCATAGCAAGTTTTTCACTGTGACCACATAACACATGGCTCTTCTGCTCTTCTTCAAGATCCTGGAAAACATCCTCTGTATTGGGAACATAACCTTGACGTGTCATCTGCTCTGAGAAAATATTAAGTGCACCAATAATCCTTTCATACCAAGGATGGGACTTATCATGAGCTACAAAAACATGCCGTTTGTTCTTCAATTCAATCCAACTGCAAGCTGGTTCCTTCTTCATGCCCTTCTTTCTCATAGATCGCCTCAGGTGTGCTGCTTCATTCCATCTCCCAGAACACGAATACGTGTTCGATAAAATTACATGAGATCCCATGCTCCTAGGTTCAAGCTCAAATATTTTCTTGGCAACTTTTTCAGCTAACACGGTATTTTTGTGGACCTTGCAAGCCCTTAACAACGTGGACCAGACACTTGCGGTTGGTTTTATTTGCATCTTAGAGATGAAATTGTAGGCTTCTTCCAACTCCCCTGCACGGCCAAGAATATCTGCAAGTGCTCCATAATGCTCAAGAGAGGGAACAATGCCGTGATGGTCCGACATTCTGTTGAAATACTTCCGGCCCTCGTCCACCAATCCAGCATGACTGCACGCAGTTAAAACGGCTATAAACGTGATATGATTAGGCTTCACATTTCCCAACTCCATCCTGTCAAACAACAACAGAGCCTCTCTTGCTGGACCATGTAAAGCATGTCCCATGATCATTGCAGTCCAGGATACAGTATCAGGTGACTGCATTCGATCAAAGATGTGACGAGCTATGCTCACGTTTCCACATTTGCAATACATGTCAATCAGGGAGCTAGATATGAACATATTACCGTCAAACCCTCCAAAGATGACGTACGCATGCAGCTGCTTGCCGAGAAGCAACGAAGCAACATTTCCACAGGCAGGTATGAGGCTCGAGAAAGTACGAGGCAGAGGTCTAACTCCAGAATGCAGCATGCGGCGAAATATTCGAAGAGCCTCCTCCACAGACCCATTCTGTGCACACCCCGCAAGCATTGAGTTCCACAGGATAGCATCGCGGCACGGGAGACTGTCGAACACCTTGACCGAGTAATCCGTTTGAGTGCAGTTTGCGTACATATCGATCAAGCTGCTGCCAACGAACACATCATCAACAAAACCGTTCCTGGTTGCAAAGCCATGGACTTCCATTCCCCTCCTGGCGTCGGAGCACTTGGCGAAGATCGGCAGCACACTCGACAAGGTAAACGAGTTTGGCTTGCACCCATCTATCCACATCTCCCTGAGCACTACCAGAGCCTCTTGGTGCCTCCCCTTCTCCGCACACCCGAACACCAGCGTGTTCCAGGACACGGGGTCCTTCTCGGTCATTTCGTCGAACACCTTCCGCATGCTCTCCAACGACTCCCCTGCCGCGTCTTCCGTCCCGGGGGAGCGGCACGGCGCTGCAGGGAGCTTGCAGTAGAGGTTGAGGAGCGCGTTGGCGGTGAAGCGGTCGGCGAAGGCGCCGGAGCGGAGCGCGAGCGCGTGGAGGGACGCGCCGAGGGCGGGGAGGCCGAGGGCGGAGCAGCACTTGAGCGCGGCCGGGAGGGACGCCGGGACGGCGGAGCGGGGCGCGGCGGGGGCGTCGGCGGCGCGCATCCGGAGGAAGAGTGCGATGGCGTGGTGGAAGTCCCCCTGGGTCGCCGCCTCGCGGACCTGGTGCGCCCATGACGGCGGGAAAGGCGCGGAGGCCACCGCCACCGCCGCCAGGGGCCGTGGCTGCATGCGCAACCGTGAGAAGAGAAGCGGGGGCGGCTAACTGCTCGGGATGGGCCGGCGAGCGGTGGTGCCCGCGCCCTCGGTCTCGGGGTGCAGTGATATGTGCGGCGCGGGAGTGAGCATGGGTCAGCCCTTAGATATTCGGATGCATGCACTTCTGTTTTAGTTGTAATGAACTTCTGTTTTAGTTGTAATTTCATTCATCTAGTCATGTCATATCAGTTAATCACATGGTCCATGCACCTACTATCTGACATGAAACCCACCACACCCCCATGCTTTTTCCTGTGATTTCAAAGTTTGGAATCATTTTATCTTATGAGCCAAAATCCCGATTTAACTTTCGTGCGTATTTATATTCCTGGTGACGAGGACCTTTAAACAAGATCACTCTTGAATATATTTTGATACTTTTTAAATTTTGATTTTTAAAACATGATGAAACCATGCGAAAGATGGTGAAACTGTATGAAACATGGTGTGAAACTCTATGATAATCTGCAGAACTCGTTACATGTATAGATTCATCAAGTTTCAAAATTTATATTTAAAAAATTATGGAAATATATTCATGAGTGGTCTTGTTTAAAAGATCTCTTTACCAAGACCCCAAATATGTTAACAGAACAGAAATCAAAATTTTCATTCAAAAGATACATAGTTTTAAAATTTCTAACTCAACTTAAATTGCATGGGTTAATATGAGGAGAGAAATAATCTAGGTAAGGCCATATGGTGTAGTAAGTCATAAGTTCCCATAAGTAGTGGGACCTAGAAAACAGTATGCATGCACGGAAGATCCCGTGCATGGTAGAAAAACCATTCTCCGCTTTGCTTCTCCATTTGATAATCCGTCCTCCAGATTGGTGGATGGGACCGAGGTCACTAGTCATTAAAACAACCCTGGGACAAATCATCCAATCCCTGTAAAGTGGGGTGAATTATACTACCCCACTGTGCACTCCTATGTTGGAAGCTTTCATACTACCCCACTGAAAGTTTCAACCCTAAAGTCGATGCCAGTCTAAATTACCCCCTCAAAATTACAAAACCGTCTTAAAATCACTTGCAGACTTAGTTCGACAGGTTTAACTCTGGTTTCTCCTTAGTGCAGTCAGGTCAGCAAAATTGCCATCTCACACATTGACTCAATTGACCAGAGCCAAATGTGTTATCACTCCATGTTACCCCTCCCTTTCTTATGCCCCATCGCTAATTT